AAAAAAAAAAAAAAAAAAAAAAAAAAAAAAAAAAAAAAACCAGTCCGGGTTGCTGCTAGGAGTGCTGATAAAAGCAGACACCACTAGAACACCCGGAGTTGCTCCATCTATTGGTGGGGAGCAGCACCTGCTGGAAACGGGGTCCAGTGTCCTCTGAGCCTTTTGTAATTGTGGGATAACTCCCTGCCAGCATTGTTTACTGTGGGCAACACGGGATTAACTGAGCAGGGGCGGAGGTGGCTGGGAGGGGGGCCAACGCCATGGGACCGGGGGGCACTAGGCGCCATGGCATTAAGGTCATCCCTCCCCCCCATGAGGAGAAAATTGGATAATCGGCACAACTAGATGATCTCACCCCTACGCACACATATACACTCATACACCCACACCCACAAACCGACGCACATATTTACCCGCACACACTCGTCCACACACCCGCACTTGCACCCACTCACTGAGTGGACTGTGGCTAGACAGCCTAGGCCTCCTCTTTCAAAATCCCCACCACTTACATCGGATGAGGAGGGAACAGCTGATTGAATCTATTCCACTAGGATGGACTGTCGAACTTCACAAAGGCCCAACGCTGATCCAAGGGGACTGGGTAACCCGAATACAAGATCTCCCAGTACCAATGCTGCTGTTCCGGTTAGCACACATATCTACAGACAGGGCTGGCCTGGAAGCCTTCAAACCCAAGTTCCCGGGGGCCCGGTGGACCTCCCTCCACAGGCAGGAGGATCTTGATAGGGAAGACCACCCTGCGCAACTGAGAAGAGTCAGGGTTGTGAGGGATGATAAAAAATAGCACTGGGTCTTCGAGCCGGCTGTCCCTATACACAGCCTCCCCTTCGACCCAAACGAGTGGAATGGCAGGGGAACAAGCCAGTCCAAGTGTGGCAATAGACGGTGAAAGCAGGATACAGAGCAGTTCGGAATTCCCCCCAACAATGGATATCGTGAAAAAACGTTGGGCAAGGGATTCCCCCGTGGACCAGCTGGCACTTCAAGAACTGGAATGGTCCAGCTACACTAAAATCATGCCAACCTCACACCGCGCCCTACAGTGGCAGATCTTACACAGGTGCCTCCCCACTCCAGATTGGCTAGTTTCCAGGACTGAGCTTGAGCAAAAAGGGATCCTGTCCCCAATATGCACATATTGTGGAA